CTGTGAGGTGGCACAGGGGGAGGGTGTGGGTGGGCATTGTCTCCTATTATAGCTTCCCACCCAAGGGAAGGCCCTGCCCATACTGGCCCTCTCTGTGTGTTGTTTGGGCCTGATCTGGAACATTTGAGCCTCGCTTTGCACAGTAAGCTCTGCCGGGAGCCTCTGGGAGACCGTGGAGGGGGAGAGCCCCCACGGAAGGAAGGCAGGCTGTCTCGGTTGACCAGAGGCTTGGGCTGAGGTCTGTCGGGCCTTGCGGTGTGGACAGTGGACTGCCAGGCAGTTAGCAATAGCGTATCTGCCACCTGGCTAGAAAACAGGCGTTGGGGCAGCGTTTTAGGGCACAAAAGAGACTCGAGTCTCAAACATACCGTAAGGAGAACATTTATGAAGCTTGAACAGGACGAAGAAGGGGTACAGAGACAGATCATCTGGGGGACGGAGCCCATTAGCTGGCCGTCCTAACGGCGTCTGAGCACTTGCAGCCAGGCAGCTACTTTAATAAGGCAGAGACACCCGGGACAGGCCCGAATTCATCACTGGTAGCAGGTCGGTTCATCACAGTGGCAGGTGTGACCCCAGAAGGGAGACATGCCCATCATGTTAGAAGCTGCCCTGGCGGTGTCGTGGGTGACTTGTTGGGTGCTGACCACAAGGTCAGCAGTTTGAGCCCATCAGCCACACTGAGGGAGAAAGATGAGGCTCTCTACTCCCATAAAGACTTAGAATCTCTCTCGGAAACCCACAGGGGCAGTTCCACTGTGCTAGAGGGTCGCTCTGAGCTGGGGTCAACTTGATGGCAGGACTCATAGGGCAGGACTTGTGACTTGGACTCCCATGTCCAGCTAAGTCCTCAAGGGAGACTGGGTGGCAGGAGAGGAGGGAGGCAGTCCACTTTCCAGTGCACTCTGCCGGAGGGCTGGACTGTTCTCAGGCCCTGCTGGGTGGTCTGAAGGAATTCAATGGAGGCTGAATCCTCATGGGGGCTCCACAACTGGATTTGGGGCTTCCACTGTCACCTACAGCCTTCTGCAAGTGGGGTGCTCAGAGTTTAAGCTCTAATATGGCACCAAGGAGCCTTCGCAGGGCCAGGCTGCTCCTGGGAGCTCGTTCAAACAGTCCACATGGCTGTCATTGCCAGAGCACAGCTAGCTTGTCCCTGCTGCTGCTCACCTCACAGCGACTCGTCTGGAGGCTGTGAAACCACGGCTGCCCCCCCAGAGCCCCCTGTCCTGAAAGCTCCTCTGGCCAGTGGCAGCTAGTCCTTGCCTGGGACCCTATGCCCTGCCCGCCCCGGCTGTCCCTTCCCCTGGTCCACTTCACTTCCCGGGCCTCGCGTGGTCTCCCCTTCAGTGGGCCCTGCTGTCGGTGGCCCACACCCCCATGGCTAGTCTCGGGCCAGATGCTGGCATGCTTTTGGTTGAACCCAGCGGCGAGCACCATGGCGGCCACGTTGGCCTTATGCACTGTGGGCATTGGAGCAGCCACCCCTCTGGAGCGCAGGGGTCTCCGTTGTTTAGTGAAAAGGCTGGATGGGGCACCCTAGGATTCTTCCCTCAGTCCAGCTTTGCTGGCTGTGTTCCAGTTGAGTTGGGTTAGCTGGGGCACGTGGCAGCCCCTCAGCGGGTGCCAGTCCACTCTCCTCTGAGGTTTTATTGTGAATGGAATTGTGTTCCCGCCCCACCCACACCTCCTAATTTGGGTTGGAATTCCATCCCTATACCTGTGGGTGTAATCTTATTCTTTGGGAATAGGCCTTTCTTGGTGATGCCTATCTTATCTGCTTGGAGCCCAGAGCCTGAGCCGGTTGTGGTTAAGTGCTCTTATGTTAACCAGAACTCCCTGGTTTTAGAAAGAACTCACCTGCTGCTCCCTGGGAGACTGATAAAGCGGCAGGTTACAGCCTTGGAGAGGCTGTGGGATGGTTCTTCCCTGTCCTACTGGGTCCATATGCTTCAGATTCAACTCAAAGGCTTGATTTACACCCAATGCCTGCGGCCACTTGGGCAGAGCAGATTCCCGGAGATAAAACAAGCAGGGATGTGGGTTGGACCAATTCCTCCTGGAGGTCACCAAGGAACAGAGCAATGCTGGCCCGGCTTCCCGAAACTCAGGCCAGGGCCTTCCCCTAGCATGGCACCCTGAACCTGGACCTCTAACCAGTGGAGAAAATGGATTTCCATTCTTTAGAGCCCCTCCTAGTCCCAACCAAAAACCCAAACTCACGGCCATCAGGCTCATGCTGACTGACAGCAACCTCCCTGGGCGTTTGTTTCGAAGACAGTAACTGTTTACGGGCGTGGAAAGCTCAGTCTTTCTCCTGAGAGCGGCCGGTGGCTGTGAACTGCTGGCCAACTCATAACCACTACACCTCCAGGGCTCCTGGCTGCACCGTCAGAGGTGCTGCATTCCCTTACTCGCACAGCCCCAGGAGGCTGTGCTCCACAGGTGGAGGGAATGGCGTCTGCAGGTCTGGCTTGCTCAGGGGCCCTGGGGCGGACCAGTCTTGCCTCCGTGTCCAGTGCCCAGGGCTGGCGGGCAGGAGGTCGGTCATAAGGAGGATTTGATGCAGCAACCAACAGTGAGGCTACTGTTGGCCTCCTCAGGGGCCTGCCCTCTGCTCCAGACTCACAGCACACCCACCACCTGCAACTCCGCTCCCCACCCTCAGGTTCTGAGGAGTACACCTGGGAGTTGTCCTTTTGCAGGCCTGAAAGTCAGATGTACGCATGCAGGCCCAGGCCAGGGCCCTGACTCCGACCCCTTTTGCCAGCAGTCAGCGGCAGCTCCACACCCTCTCTGCCCTGTCTGCTAAGAGGCTGGGCTTGACACCGGGCCTGCTTGCCAGCCTCAGGCCCTGGAAGGCCTCGGCCCGGTCCCACAGGCTCCTTGGAGCACGTGGTCTGTCCTCACTGGCTGGAGACCTTTGTTTCTTCTGGAGGGTGGTGGGACAGGCAGGGTGGGGGGAGAGGCCTTAGGGGTCTCCTGGGCTGAGGAGGAAACAGGCCCAGCAGGGACAACTGGCTTTGCCACGTTTACAGGGAGGGAGCCCTGCTCTCTGGGCTCCAAGTGGTCACAGAGTACATGGGGGAGGGCCAGGCCACTGGGCTCTGAGGGCCTTGGTGAGATTTATTTAGAGACAGGAAGTGGGGGTGGGTCTCTGGGAGGGCAGCAGGCATTCCTGGGGGACAGTTGCACTGGAATACAGGCGCCCCTTGGGGAGAAACCTTGGGGGATCCCTTTCCTGCCGATAGCCTTAGGAAACCACACAGCCTCCTCAAGCCTCAGCACCCCCAACAGAAAGCCATCCAGCCTTGTAGGGCGGATGCAAACTAGCCCCAATTACTTTACTGTGCAGCCCAGCAGTTTAGTGCTGGCTCTGTGGGATTTATATAACTCGCTACACTGCGTCCAGGCAAACCCGGTTGGCTGCAGATGCTGGCCAGGGGGTGGGGGGCCAGATAACTCGGGAGAGTGTGGTTTCCTTGTTAGTGATCAAAGGCTAGCACGTGGTAAGTCAACAAAGGCTAGCCTGAGACTGGCCTAAGACTTAGACAACTGTACTCTTCTATTTGCTTGCTCGCGGTCAACAATCGTTTCCTGTGGCAACACATCTCTACGTGTCTGCAGAGTGTAGATTCCACCACAGTGAAAGGCAGGGATTCTGATCTCAAGCAGGGACACGTGCCCCTGGGACACAGCGTTCCTGTCAGTCTCCTCGCTGGTTCACCTCTGGCCTGGAGCTGGTGAACAGCTCTGCTGCCTCAGCGTACGGTGATCCCTTACTAGCTGTAGCAATACTCCTGGTATTAACGACAGCCGCTATTAATGGAGTCTTGGTGGTGTAGGGATTACCCACTGGGCTGCCATCCGCTTGGTCAGCAGTTCAAAACCAACAGCAGCTTCCTACTCCCCTAAAGTTAGGGTGGGCTCAGAGACACACAGTGGTTTCTGAGTCAGCATCATGTGGCGGTGAGTGCCCGTGTCAGCTCCTGGCCAAGTAACCGCGAGGACCGCTCTCAGGAATGCTTTCGGTGAATGCTCTCCTGGAGGTCAGCGTGGAAAGCGCTCAGCACCACCCCAGCCCCATGAGGGGGCCAAGCCCACTGCCACCGGGCTGCTTTGGACTCAGGACCCCACAGGACATGGTAGAACTGCCCCATAGGGTCTCCAGCGCTGTCACCCCTTATGGACGGCGACTGTTACATCCTTCTTGGGCAGGGGCTGGCAGTGGGTTCAAACTGCTAACTTTGTGGTTCGCGGCCAAGTGCCTAACCATGGAGCTGCCAGAGAAGCAAACTCCCCTCTCCCCCCCGCCCCAAATTGCAGTCATTTAATCAAGCACAGTACGTCATCCAGCTGCCATGCCCTCTTCCTTGCTGTCCACACAGAGCAGAGCAGCCTGTACCGAGGCCCTGTGGGAAAGCAGCCCTGCTAGACGCCGTCTCCCTGCGCCCGCGTGGCATTCATAGTCTTTGTCCTTTGCCTTCACCTCTCGTGGGGTCCAAGTGTGGGCACAGGTCTGACGGGTCCCACACTACCCACAGGGCAGGGAGCTGAGTGGGGGCGCTGGGCAAGGTCAAAGGGCCTGGGGAGCAGAGGGCCACTGCTGCCTACTAGAGATCCCCCACCCTGCCAGTGACTCCTTGCAGCTGTGGAAACAGAGGCTCCTGGCGGGAAGTCACCTGGTGGGAAGGTGCAGGGACCGCCCCCCGCCCCCCAGCCTGTCTTGTGGCCTGGACAGCAGCACAAATCCTGCCTCGCAACCTTTCTTTTCATTTTTATTTTAAAGGAAAAAAACCCCCAAA